TGATATACACTAAAGTATTTTGCTTGTTGGGAATATTAAATTTAATCTATTAGTGTGGAATTGGAATTAAAACTAAAATAAAAGTTTCAAGAAAGATTTTTCATTTTTTTAAAAAGCATTTTAAGGTATTGCTTTTTTGGGGGAAATAGTCAAGTTTGTAAGAGTGTTGGTTTATTACTGTGATCTTCATGAAGATTTGTTTTTGCCAATGCATATGTATGTCAAAACCAACACTTAATACCTCATTTAACAATCAGATTTACGACAAACAAACCTGACAGGATGGTAGGTATAAAACACATGAATATAATATTTTATTCTTTGGCATGCTTAGACTTCAAACACAGAGTAAAAGCAAGTTAATAGCTACAAGTATAATGGATTAGCACTAAATATAATGATACACATACACACACAGAGATAAAAAAAACTCATCTGATAAAATATCAACACATATTTATAAATAAACAACCTGCTAAAAGAACTACCCACATGTGCCAAATAAATGTACACCTGTCCTCTCCCTTGTTAATTTTTGGATTTTTTTTTCAACTTCCCACCACTCTTGGAGCATATTAGAACCATCACCTCCCCTTATTAATTTTTTTTTTACTATTCATTCACCTGACTTAATAGATTGCTGAAACATTTATTTAGAAATGTACATGGTGGGACACCACTGCACTGAAAACCTTTGAGTTAAATATTTTTGATTTCATTGGATTACTTATGTTAGCAAGGTTTCAGACAATTTTAACTTTAACTCTTTGCTTTTAGGTCTTGTTAATAGTTTGAAAGACTTGTTTTTTTAAATAATTTCCCAACCACCAGGCTTAAATCCCTATTTTATTAACTGTTCTCACCCCCATTTATTACTGCTACCACTGTATTTGGCATTCGAGAGTAAAAACTAAAAGGGACCTCAACTCGATTCTTGCAGAAAAATTGCTATTGTCATTTTGATTTAAGTGTCCACCCACAGGTTCTCAATCTCATAATATCAGCTACCAAAAATGCATAATCAGCCATTTTATAACATCAAGCGTGTTAGAGACATGACAATATATATATAATTAAATAAATATCGAAACTGAAGAATATTTATTAAAAAAAAAAAAAAAAAAAAAACTAGCTATATACATCAAACCACAAAAATTTCAATAATAAAAAGTTAAAACTACAAAAGAGAAATGAAATCCGTTTTTAGGACATAACGTCCCAGGCTTTCTTCAACAATTAATAATGAATGTGAAAACAAACTAAGTAAAAATTAAAAGCAACAATAAAATAAAGAAAAATCGTCAAAAATTAATAAAACTACTCAAAAAAAATTAAATAACTTTCCCTGTCACCTTGAAGTAGAACCCCCACAAAAAAAAAAAGGCTGGGGTATACCTGAGTGACCCACATCGTGAGAAGATCCCAAGACGATGGAGGTGTTGACAGCTTTATTACACAACCCCAGGTAGAATCAAGAGCAGAAAATGTTAGACATTTATTTTTACAACATTTACCCACGCATTCTGACAATTTGCTTTTAAATTTCTTCAAAAAAGATAATTACTCAAATTATCTACTTAACATAATTTGTTTTCCTCTTTGCAACTGAAAACTATGGTTTATTGTTGATAATCACTTTGAAAAGAAAAAAAAAAAAAAAAAAAAAAAGAATTTCCTGGCATATATGACGTTTCTTAGTTTATTTACTTTGGTTTTTAGCTGAATTTATGACGGGGGGAAAAAAACACTGTCCTTTTTTACCAAGAATTTTAAAGAGGTATATTAACAACTGTCAATAATGTTCTCTTCTTAAACATATATGTGTGACGTAACAATCGGGTACACCATGCACCCTTAGGTAAGGTTGGTAGGTAATTGAAACGAATGACTGTTGTTGTTGCTGTTAGTGCAAAAATGTATGTAGTGTTTTATGTAAAGGGCCATCATACAACATAACATGTGTATTATTATATTATTATTGACACAAAATAGAGACATTCTAAAAATATACCTTGACTACACAGGGTAACATAACGCAACTTAAAAGAGGATAATCAGCTCTCAACCAAGAAGGTGGGGGGTGTTCTCATTCTATCAGGTTGCAAAAAAAAGAAAAAAAAGAAGAATTGCAGCCTGATGATGATTGCATTTATTTTTAACATGAAAACGTAAAAAAGAAGAATGATTATTCAATGAATATGGCAGCCTAAATAAACTTCGGCGAAAATCTGGTATTTTGTTTTTTGTTTGATCATATAAAAAAAAAAAATTAAAAAAAAAAAAAAAAAAAAAAAAATTTTTTTTTTTTTTAAAATATGCTCCCCAACCAAAAAAAAGGATAACTTCTTGAAAAAGTATTTCACCTGGACAAACTTTGTTCTTGCCTTTGTTTCGAAAAAAATCTTATAATTTATTGTTTTTATGTTGTTTTCTCAAGGGGCAGAAAAATTATCGTGTGAATTTGAATTAGTGAATATGACATAATGAAAGTGAAGCTAGTGCTTAAAAAAAAAAAAAACACGCCATGTGCAAATAAAATTTTAACGACCCTCATGAACATGGGAGGGAATTTTTTGTTTATGTTAAATTTTTTTAAATAACTAAAAAAAATACTAACTGTTCAAATTTTGAACATTAAGTTATTGTACGACATTAAAAAAATTTCTGCCATCAACTAAAAAAACTTTAAATAAAATACAAAAATATCAGTTTTAAAATCTTTTAAACAAATAAATTAAAAAGAAGACTTGTCCTTTTAAACAAAATAACAAAAAGAAAGCAAACACCAATTTACGATAATTTGATTGCAAACATTTTCAATTGCAACTTTTTTTATATATTTAAATTTAAATATTCTATTTTTATTCTAAAACGTTTTAAACAAAATATATTTCAAATCGTCAAATGGAATGAAATGTTCAAAACATTTCATTTGACTATTTGAAATATTAACTTAAGGAATCGGAGCAAATAACAAGTTTAAGATAATGTCTCTCTCTCAAGGTAGACTTTAAAAAATCCAAGGTTAAGAAGAGGATTGATAAGAAAGCGTAGTAATTTGAAATTCTTTAAATTTCAAAATTGCGATAATATTCAAATTCTTACGGGAGAAATAAAGGCGGCTAATTAAAAAAAAACAAGTATGGAAAAAAAAACTGTAAACCCTAAAAACGCATTAAGAAAAAAAATCTCATTTAATGTAATCAATTTTATTTTAAAAGTTTTGAAGTTGCAAAAAACTAAGAAAGATGTAAGATTAAGAAGAAGAGACTAGTGTGCATGTACTTTAAATGAATGCATAACAAAATTTACCAGCATGGTTTCTTTGCAATGGATTTTTAGTAAAAAACAAACTACATGAGTTTAATTAAAAAAACTGTACTTTTTAGTTTAAACAAGTTTCTATTAAAAATTAAAAAAGATAAGATACTTGTAAACTTGAAGCTAGATTTTTTTGGTTAAGCTAAAAAGAAAAAGAAAAAAAAAGATATAATTCTGTTGAAAAATTCATTATTTTTCCACTGTAGTTTAGCTATATTCTACTCTTGATAAAAATGACCTTTATTTCTCTGGGAACCTGTTAGTTAACAAACTTACAAAAAAAAAATGCATGAATGGCAGTGAACGCAAACGAAGTGGCTATAAAGTGGGGTCCGGTTTACAATCGAACTAAGATGCGAAAACGAACCCTGACTTTCTGTTCAACATTACGACATCAAATGTTTTAGTAGTTTAATTTACAATTTAATTTCTGTTGAACTGAACCCTGATTTTGTGTCCATCTTTATGCGCGCCCACACACACGCATGTCTACCGTTTTTTTTTTTTTACCTTTATTACGCAAACTTAAAAAGAAAAAGTTTAGAGAGTTAATAATAATAATAACGTTAGGAGTCATTCATAACACCACAAATCAAGTTCCTTGCCAAAGAACAAAAAGAAAATTAAAGCTTTATATTTTTACTTTAGGGTTTTTTGGTACTTTATTAAAATTGTGGACATAAACAGACTAAAAATGAAAATACCCGCTACTTGAGTGGAAACGTACTTAAGGACCCAGTTTAGCATTTACATTGTAAATTGAGCCGGAAAAACACGAAAAAAAAAAAAAAAAAAAAAGATTTCTGAATGAAATGAAGGTTTACTTGATGCACATAAACAAACAGGTTTATCTACAAAACTACACATTTTTAGCAGTTAAAGATTTGGTTAAACTAAAAAAAAGTTTAGCTTAACCGAATCTTAAACCTTTATTTTTAAAATTAATTAAAAAAAAGAAAAAACAATGAACAAACATTTTCAGAAGACCAACTTTTTCTTTTCCGAAGAGAATCGTTTATCAAACTTAAGATTACATAATAATTTGAATGTTAAGAATGAAACTGAAGAAGTAGTCCTAAGTTTATAAGAAAAGAAAATTTAAAAAAAAAACAGTAAAAATAACAAAATGTGTAACAAAAAAACTGTAAAGTTTACACATAATCATTGTTTATCATCGGGTTACATTTTAAAAATTCAAACTAAAAAAGTTTTAAAACAAATTATGCAGAAAAAAGTATATATATTTTTTCAATTATCTGTTAAGTTTCAAATAAAAAATAAATACAAAGAAAATGTGAAAATAAAAAAACCTTCCCTAAAAACTAAACACTGGAAAAACTTACAGAATGATGAATATCTTTTTCATTTTTTTTAATAATACAAATAAACTAAAAAAAGTATTAAGTTAATTATTCAAGTTTATGTTAAAGCAAAACAGAGCAGAGAAAGTCCAGTAATTCAACTCGAAAACAATTTATGAATGAATGAAAATTAATTATTAAAAAAAAATGAAGTTGAATTCAGGACTTCCCTTTCTGAGTCTAAAACTGTTTTTTTAAATCCGATAAAAAAAATAAAGCATCAACAATAACATAGAAAACAAAACGGACAATCACCATTCATTTATTATGTATGAAACCTTAAAAAAAGGTCACTAACATTGCCTTATTTTACTTTACCTGTGTTGTAATCCGACAAGGCCTAGACATATAATGTGTGGGACGTCCAGATTAGTAGATTTTGGCGGTGGGGGCCATTCTCCTGCGGCAATACAACCGAAAACACCACATGCCTCGTGCAACTCATCATTACTTTCATCAGGATATTTATTAGAAAATATATATTCTTTTGAAGTAGCCATAGTTTACTTTTTACTTCGTTTCTATATCTGATAGTCTGTTGATGGAGTTACTACTGTGAAAACACAGAAAGTTTAGCAAGCACAAAGAAACAAGCCAGCCAGAAGGCGAGCAGATAGGAAGAAAAAAAAAAGAAGAAAAAACGTCGTCCACGTGGTTGAGCATAAAACCTGCTGTTGAACACATCCACTTAATAATCTGCTGTTACAAGTGAGAACCGCCCACAATAAAAGCCTTTAATATTCATTTACCGATATTGGTTAGTTTTGCTCTAAATCGTATATTGATCCCAATAGAAGAGATAAAAATTTAAAATAAAATAAAATAATTTGAAAAGTTTTAGTTTTATAATAATCTCTTGTATTGTGCAAAGTAACTGTAAATCGAATTATTACATTTTGAAAAAAAACTAAGAGTTCAAAATTTAGAAAGACATGTGAACGAATGGCTAAAATTAACTTCTAATTAATTAAATCAATTCAGAAAGCAAAAAAAAAATCATTTAAAAATAACGGTTTCAAACTAAACAAAACTAAAAAAAAAGTTTTTTTTTTGTTTGTCTCAGAAGCCATCATAAAATTTTATTTCGATTCTATTGATCAGACTCACAGAGGAAAGAAATAATTTATCTGAAGGCCAATAATTTTGCTATATACACACATTTATCTCTACCACGGTGTAACACAGTTGATTTGTACACTTATATATATTTTTTGATAATTTTTCACTATTTTCAGTTAAGTTTCGTTGCGTGTTTTAGTTTTGCGCCAACATCAGTGGTTGGTCAGCATTAGAGACCACGTGTAAGTGAAGCTGCCCAATGCAGATTTTAAAGGCAAAGCACACCGAATTTGAATAAGAAAGATTATTAATTAATTATAACACCATAGTCTCTTTACCCTCGTTTAGATTCACCAAATGTGCTCGTGATGAAGTTCATTAGAACAAAATCAATACAAAAGAGAAAAAAAAAATGAATTTCTTTGTCTTTATTTTATTTTTTTATACTACTGTTCACAAAATAGAAGGCTGAAGAACTACTTAAAGTAGAAGTTTACTGAATAAGGTTATTATTTTAAGAAATACATATTATGAAGATATGTAGTAGATAATAGTTATTTAGCTATGGATGTTTGCATTAAAAGATCAAGGTGGATGATCTGACATATCCTAAATTTTAAGTACTTTCAATTAATTTTTTTTTAATAATTTACTCTTTTATATCTGTACTCAAATTTGACTAAATCTTAAGAAATTTAAGCAACAAAATTAAAAATAAAAGCAAACTAAAAAAAACTCTAAAAATAAACAAAAAGGAGTTAGTAATAAATACATTATTTTATCCTATACACCAGAATTCTACCAATTCTACGAGTTTAATTACACTATTTACATTGTTCAGACTATTGTCCTCATCTTTATTGCCATATTTATCATAATGTTATGCCTGTTGTACGCTCCAGCCTTCTTCAGGTGGTTGAACTGTCGAACTGAACCCTTTATTTTGCTCAATGGGGTAGACTGTTCTAGTTCCACGTGCCATGTCTAATGGATGTCAGTTATCAGTTATCTCCTGTTAATTCCCCTCTCCAAGTTCTCCACCGCCTTAACCAGGTATTGAACTCACACTCTTTGGGTCCTGTCACTGGATCTAATCAACGCCTTTATTATAGTGTGGGGAACCTGAGCACATACACCGGAGTCAGGGCCCCAAATTGCCCAGCCTTCACAACTGTCGGGTGCACTAGCATCAGTATTACTACCAATCCCCCCTCTCTAGTGCAATGAAGGGGGTACAGCTCTGGGTGGCTGTTCTCTGGGACCAGGCCTCACAGTATTTTTGTTTTCTCCAGCTGCACATTTGTCTGCAGACAGACACACAACTGAGTTGCATATTGCTTGAAGACAGAGTTTTATTAAAATAATATATCTACATAATAAATGTGAATGTCACTATGTCATACTCCAAAAGACCATAGTGCAACATATACCATTTTGGAATCAGGCTGATTCTGTGAGCAAATTAAAAACATTCCGGGCCAGATTCAGACCACAATCCTGAAATTTGGGATTCCGAAGTTTTCATTACTGCATTTGTTTTCAGATTCTGCCATCTTGGCTTCTACCGATAAAAACAATTAAAGTGACATAACTTTCAATCACTCATGTTCAAATGAAAAAAATTACTATTCTCAAATTACAGTGTTTCAAAATAAAATTGTCTGTATTTTCAACTTTACTCCTTGAGGCCGTAGTCCAACATATCATACCATTTTAGAAGAAGGCTGATTCCATGAGCATATTAAAATCATTTTGATCCGGATCCAGACTCACAATCGTGAAACTTTAAATTCCCAAGTTTTCATTACTGGGATTTTTTTTCCGTTTTTTTTTTTCTATTTTTTTTTTTTTTTTTCTACAATAACAATTTTTATAACTTGGAAATAAATTTGGTAATAAAATTAATTGCGAAATTCTGCGAAAGTCACCCATGAAATAAAAATGTTTGGATAGAAAGTAAAGAGCTACATACATCAAATTGTCTTCGAATTAAGTGGCAGCAGAAGAATTATTGTTGAACTTTTAAAAGGTGACCTTAAATATTAATGCAATACTTAAATGCAGCAATCAATTTTGAGTTCCTCTGTAGTTTATTGCTGCTTATCACATCTACTCCTCTCTACTTATTGTGATGAAGGCCCAATCAAGACAGGAGTTAAGCTTAAATGCCACCTGATAGGGTGGCTTTAAGATAGTATATAGTTGATATATATATATATATATACCAACATTGTATACATAATTCTTACATATACACACACACACATATATATATATATATATATATATATATATATATATATATATATATAAATTCGTTGTTATTTTCCTCATTGTTTTCATACACAAGTGATAATTATGTTTGACCTATCCTAGGTATGACAATAAACTACATCTGCGTACTGGGTAAGACGATAAACTACGTCCAATAGCAAGGCCTCTGATCAGAAGGTCTTGAGGAGCATGGAACCACCTCTTAATTGCTTGTGTTCCCAGGTCCACCCTTACCCAGGGTGGTAGCACTTGTCAGGGTCCCAGCTATGGGAAAATAGTTCACCCCAAACTGGAGTCAAAACACTATGAAAGTGTAAAAATAGGTTTTAATACCAGAAATATTTTGTAAAAAAAATTATTATCAGTAATAAATTTTTGAAGAAAAAATTATTACCAGCAATACATTTTTGAAGAAAAAAAATTACCAGATATACATTTTTTTAAAAAAATATTATCAGCAATACATTTTTGAAGAAAACATATTACCAGAAATAGATTTTTTTAAGGAAAAAATATTACCAGAAATAGATTTTTGAAAAAAAAAAATTACCAGCAATAAAAATGTTGTCAGCATTAATTAACCCATTGAGGTTGATATACCGTAAAACAAACCAAACCAAACCATTATGTTTGACAAATGTTTGGGTCAATTGGGCTTTTGGTAAGGGTTGAAAAGTTTCAGACTGTTGACATCTTTATTGCCATATTCACAACATTTCGACCATTATGCACACTAGCCTTCTACAGGTTATATACATTGGACTTTTAAAATGTATCTAAGTGGTCCAGTGGGTAAAAAGCATTGGCTGAGTGATCCTAAAAGCGACATGATTCAAAAAGTTGTGGGTTCAATACCTGGACACAGCAGAGGGGACAAAAAATTTGGGGAGTTAAGTTGGGAGAATTAAATGAAACTGAGAAATCAAAAGGCATGGCATGTGGCATTAGAACAATTTACTCAGTGGACTAAATAAAGGGTTTAGTTTGAAATTCCAATGTATAACATCTGAAGATGGTCAGAGTGTACAAAGGCCGAAACATCAAGAATATGACAACAAAGATGAAGACAATTGTCTGAAAAATGTAGTGTATTTAGTTTCCTTTGTTTGGTCAAATATTTCACATGAGGATATAATTTCTAAACAAGAAACACTTTGATTTAATGGTGTTTGTTGTATTGTGGAGCCTTTTTGGAATGTTTGTAAATATTGTCTGTTATTGGGTAGAAAATAAAGTTTAGGTGTGTTTTAATATGGTATCTATGTGGGTATGTACTTGTGTTGGAAATAGGGTTTATTTCTTATAATGGTACAGATATGTGCAGTACTCTGCAAGTATAGTGTAGTGATATTGAGACTTTTTAATGGATTGAAAAATAGTAAAATATGAAATGCTTTGAAAACTAATGCAATATATTCAACAGCATAAGATATATATCAATGTTAAGTGTAGTCCAATGAGAGCAAAGCACATGATCTGGTCACATGAATTTAAGTATATATGTGATTAAGTATTAACTAACTTAAAAGGGGACAATGGCCAATTGGTTGTGCTAGTGATGTAAAAATACAGAAGGCACTTATTTCCCTTTGGTAGAGATAAGGCACATGATGGTTGCTTGGTGATGTCACTCCAAACAGTAACCAAAGTGGCAGTCATTTTTCAGTTCATGGACAGTAACCAAATGAGAAGGTAGCCCTTTTCTAGCCTAGGCCAAAGGGACCAGGCTGAGGCTAAATCTGCCTCATCCAGCAACCTACAAACACACGGTGCCATTTCCCTTTGGAACATAGATGAACCTAGCCCATTTAAATCCAGAGTCCTAAAAATGGCTTCTCCAGGTCAGGAGTATTTCCAAATTATATGTAAGACATTTTCTTTTTGTTCCTCCTTATACTTTGCTTTGCTGTATATATGTGATATATAGTTCTCCATGTGAGATGTGTGTGTATATATATATATATATATATATATATATATATATATATATATTAGTTTTGTGTATGACTTAGTATTATAAAAGTCTTTCTGAGAACAAAGTCTGTTTGACATTCTTTCATCGTTACAGCAGTTTATTTTACATGCCAATCTTTGTTGGGTTATTTAATTGCAAATTTTGTATGGGTCACATAGTGAGGATCAAACTTACTGCTCAGTAGTAATAGTCAACTAAACTGGGGTAGTTTAACACTAACCATTACTCCATGCTGAGTTATCTTCAGCAGTTTTATTATTCCACTATTGGTTAAAAAAAACTTACAAAGAATTTTTGTTGGTCTTTAACCAAAAGTGTGCGTGTGTGTGTGCACGCGCACCGATAAAATGTATTG